GGACACCAATGCGTGAGGCCCTGCTTTGTGGAGTCCTCACGGCAGGGTTACATATGATCGGATCTCGGTGAGAAAAGGGGCGAGGACCCCGACAGCAGGCCCAAGTCCCGCCCAGAAGGGGTAACTCATCAGCAACGACGAAGGAACCCCTGCAGCGCAATCAGCGCTCGGGGAACTTAAAAGGGAACCTGTCGCAGAGCAGCCCTGCGGAGCGACCTCGAGTGGGCCGAGCTCTGGCCAGTGGGCGAGCTGCCCTCGGAAGGGGCAGGGCGGAAGAGAACGGGAGGGGGGCAACAGAGGGGGGGGACGGGCTGGGGAACGAGGGGGAGAGGGCACTGGGGAGGGGAGGGGGGTGGGCGGAGGAGGGAGGAGGGAGGAGGGAGGAGGATGGAGGAGGGGAGAGGGGGAGGAAGGAGGGAGGAGGGAGGAGGGGGAGGAGGGAGGAGGGAGGAGGGAGGAGGGGGGAGGGAGGAGGGAGGGGGAGGAGGGGGAGGGAGGGGAGGAGGAGGGAGGAGGGAGGAGGAGGGAGGAGGGGAGAGGGAGGAGGGGGAAAGGGGAGGGGGGAGGGGGGGACGGCGGAGGCGGGACCGATCGAGAGCTACGTCCAGGTGGCCCGATCGCACCCTTCCCAGACCCCTGACGTCATGATTCTTGCATCACGTCGGCTCCTGGAGGTCTCGACCCATTCCCCTGGACCTGATTCTTGCATCACGTCGGCTCCTGGAGGTCTCGACCCATTCCCCTGGACCGTTTTTTTCCATCCTGAGCAGTTGTTTGACGCTCCCGAGGGCCGGCAAGGGCCCCCAGAGGCCGCACATAGCCAAGAACCTCTCGGGGGCTCTTCACGCCAAGGCTCTCCACGCCTTGGCGGCGAGGTCCTGACTTGGGAGCCTTGGCGACGAGGCCCCGACTTCTGTCGAGGCCCCGCTCGGGGAGGGCATGTGACCGGAGAGTGGGAAGCTATGTGACCTGGGGCCCGACAGTCGGAACGGTCGAGATGGGTACTCCAGATTTCGTAAGAAAGGGAGGGGGGTCTCATTTCTCAGAGCGTGAATTACCTACCCCACTTTCGCTTCCAGGCAAAACCAAGTCATACCACGCGCCTCCTCGCCAAGCGGCCTGACCAGTACAGGCCGCAATGTGGCATCGCTTGGTATCTCTTGGAAGCGAGGGTGGTCAAAAGCGAGGGAGGTTTGTTTTCCCCCTATATCTTGGAGGGCCCGAGGGGGGGCCTGGGCTGCGCAGCAGGGGAGGGCGCCGCTCGGGCGCTGCTGGCCCGGCCGCGCGCTCCCGGCCGCTCCCCCGGCCAGCGGTCGGCCCGCGCTGGCTGGGGGGCACGGGCCTCGGGCCTCCCGCGAGAGGGAGGAGGAGGAGGAGGAGGAGGAGGAGGAGGAGGAGGAGGAGGAGGAGAGGAGGAGGAGGAGGAGGATAGGAGGAGGAGGAGGAGGAGGAGGAGGAGGAGGAGGAGGAGGGGAGGAGGGGGAGGAGGGGCGGAGGAGGAGGAGGAGAGGAGGAGGAGGAGGAGGAGGAGGAGGAGGAGGAGGAAGAGGAGGATGAGGAGGAGGAGGAGGAGGACGAGGCCTCCCGCGAGAGGGGGCGGCGGAGGGTCGGCCACGCGCAGGAGGACAGGAACACACACAGACACGATGAGTCCTCGATTCCCCAGGAAATATATGGGAGAATATGGGAAGTGGGGGGGGGGGAAGGCAGAAACCAAGAAGATATGGGGAAATGTAGGGACTGCGTTTCTCTGTGTGCATTTATGTGTGTGTCCCGGGGCCCCTTCACACGCGCAGAGGGGGGGGTACGGTGAGGGCTTATGCCAGGAAGCACCCTGCTTGCCTCCGGGGTGCCCTGGGTTTCTTGGGTTTCGATAGGGGGCCACATGCGAACCCTACCCCTACCCCCCACGATTTCTGGGGGGTGGGCTGGGGTTCACCTCGTTCGGGAGCTCCCGCGCGAAGTGAACCCCACCCTCCCCTTCAGAATTCGTGGGGGGTATGGGGTAGGGTTCGCATGTGGCCCTCTATTCGAAGGTTTCGCGATGGAAAGCGCAGCGCTCCCACAACAACAACCGTGGACGTCCTGGGGTCTCAGGGTCTGGGTTTCCTGTGGAAGGTTTCTTTCGGACTGGCCTCCACTGTATGGGGAGGGGGGAAGGCTTCTTAGAAGCACCCATGCTTCTTAGAAGGCGCGGGCCTTCTCTGCAGATGTAGGGCCGGCGCCTTCTAAGAAGCAGGGGTGCGTCTGAGAAGCCTTCCCCCCCTCCCCCTTATACTCGGGCAGAACGAAAGGGACGGATAGGGAAAGGGGGGGGGTACGAAACCTGCTGCGTGCAGCTGGTTTCGGCCCCGCCGGCGGGCCCATTCCTTCATAGGCGCCTCCCAGCGCCGGGAGGCGCCGGGAAAATCAGCTGCGTGAGCTGATTCTGAGCCCCCCCCCTTCGCTATCCCCGGGGTACGCCACAGCCCGGTATGCCCCCGTGGTGCGCGCCGCCGAGGACGCCGACGGGGAGGAGGGGACGGGCGCCCGAGGAGAGGGAGGGCGGGGGGGCCAGGCCCGGGCGCGCGACGGGGGGGGGACGGGAAGCCGGATGGGTCAAGTCGGGCCTGTCTTTTCCTCAAGCAGTTTTTTGTTTGTTTAGTAGTCTTTTGTATTACGTAGTTTTTGTTTGAATAGTCCCCCTTCTACAGGGGGAATATCAAAACATAGCTTCTTGTTAATAGTTTGGGGACTATTTTTTCATTTTGTTTTGACCATGTGGGGGATTCGTTTGAGAATCTGTTATTTTTCGCCCCAAGTCGGCCTGTAGGGGGACAGTCCCGACTCAACGAATGGGCTGCGGGCGTGCAGAGCGAGCCCCTGAACCCCTCGCGTTGTGAGCGAAATCACGGCGGGAGGTGTTTCGCTCTTTGCGGCCTCTGGGGGCCCCCACCGGGCCCCGAGAGTTTCAGAAAACGACTCAGGATGAGAGTCAGAGGGACGCCAACAATGCACCACCACCAGCCCTGGCCAGGTCCATCTTGGGACCAGGGCTGGTGTATAGACCTCCAGGCCTCGGCTCGGAGGACCTGTACACCAGCCCAGGGCCCAGGATAGGCCTGGACAGGGCTGGTGGTGGTGTGTTGTCTGGAGCTCTCCCAGAGAGACCGGTCCTGGGGAAGCGAGGTCCAGACCTCAGGGAGTCGAAGTCATGGGAAAATCATGGCGTCGGGGGTCTGGGTCTCCCCTGTACGGTCGGACCGAGGAATGCGATCGAGGACGGCTTGTTGGAGGGTACCTTGGTGTTCCGAATTTGTGCTTGTTGGATGTTCCTGTGCACCCTGGGCAGGGTGCCCTATAGGATGTTCTGTGTGCTTTGGCCGTCGGAGGGCCTCCTGTTCTTGGAGGGCTATCTTTTGACCTGGGTCCGGCTGCACGCCATGCGCAGGGCCAGCCGGATTCGCGGCCGCTGGGAGCTCCGGCCGCTCCTCTCTCTGCAGCGCCATCCTGAGCCGGTCGCATCATGGCGTCGTTCTCCCTCCTCTAGGGCGGGAGCGCGGAGGAGGAGGAGGAGGAGGAGGAGGAGGAGGAGGAGGAGGAGGAGGAGGTGGAAGGAGGAGGAGGAGGAGGAGAACCAGGAGAGGAGGAGAGGAGGAGGAGGAGGAGGAGGAGGAGGAGAGTGGAGGTGGAGGTGGAAGGAGGATGAGGGGAGGAGGGGGAGGAGGAGGAGGAGGAAAGGGAGGAGGAGGAGGAGGAGGAGGTGTGGAAGAAAGAGGGAGGGAGTGGAGGAGGACGAGAGCGCGATCCTGCCGCTCGGAGGCCCCGGGGGGGGGGGGCGGCCTGGGCCCTGTAGCGGGGGGGGGCGTCCGAGGCAGAGACTCCGCTTCGTCGACTTCAAGAGGGGGCGGAAGGAGCTGGCGCCCTGCCCCTGCGGCGGGGACGCGCCCGGCGGCCCCGCCTCTCCACCGCCAGAATGTGCCCAGGTCCACCGCTGCAGAGTCGTGTTCCGGGATCTCGAGGAGAGGCGGATATTGACATTTTTGCCCGCCCGCATGGGCGGGCAGGTCTCCATTCGGGGCTCACGAGACGGGGGTCAGTGCAAATGGCGGTCAGTCAGAGCGCATGATCTTACATGGTCCTGCAGGGACATATGTCCATTCGGGGCTCGAGAGACGGGGGTCAATGCAAGCGGGGGTCAGTCAGAGCGCATGATCTTGCAGGGTCCTTCAGGGACAGGGTCGCATTGACCAGGGCTTGGGTGCAGGATCCTGCAGGATCCTGCAAATCTTGACTGACCCACCGCCCCCCCCGACTCCCTGGAGGGCGACCCCGCGGCAGTGGATACAGTGGGTATGGACATGTTTTGGCGGTGCAGCCTCTCCGAGGGTGGGATGCGCTGGGCGGTCTCGCCTCTTCTGGGGTTTTGCTGGCCGAGCGCATTGGCGCCCGCCCTCGCCGCCGAGAAGTGTGCGCGTGTGCGTGTGCGCGTGTGTGCGCGTGCGCGCGTGTGAGCGTGTGCGCGTGTGCGCGTTTGTGTGTTTGTGTGTGTGTGTGTGTGTGCGTGTGTGTGTGTGTGTATGTGTGTGTGTGTGTGCGAGTGTGCTCACGTGCGTGTATGTATGTGTGTGCTTTGTGTGTGTGGACCTTTCTACACCGCGACGCGCGCGTGGCCGATACGACAAAAAGTGCGCGCGCGTGTGTGTCGTGTGTGTGTGTGTGCATGCGTGCGTGCGTTCGTGCGTGCGTGCGTGCGTGCCGGCGTGCGTGCGTGTGTGTGTGTGTGTGTGTTTGTGTGTGTGCGCGTGTGCGCGCGTGCGTGTGTCTATGTGTTTGTGTGTGTGTGTGTTTGTGCGTGCGTGTGTGTGCGCGCGCGTAAACTTGAGTCTTGGGTGCAAGGGGCCCCCAGACGCGCAACTGCAGGCATCCGAAAAACCCTTCGTCCACGAGCAGAGGTTCGAGGCACCTACGGCCCGCCCGCAGCTCCAGGAAGTCCCAGCCCCCCGAGAATTCGACGCGCGCGCAGGAGACTTCCCAGGACCCCACAACCATCTGGGGGACTGGAAAGGAATATGCCCTCACAGCATGACCGTACTGCGTTCGTGCGCGTGCATGTGCTACCTTGGGCTCGAGCGCGCGCGCGCGCGTGTGTATGTGTGTGTGTGTGTGCACCTTCCTGATCTCCATCTGTACGTCGCTGACGCTTTCCGTTGTGAATGCCCGAGCGTGTTCAATGTTCAGTGGGAGTCATATTGAATATGTGCCAGTCCGAGGGTGAGCGCTCCTCCGTGCTTCTCTCTGCCACCGTATGCTGCTTTCCTCCTGCCGCCATATGCTATTCGTTGGCGGTTCGCGATTGGTGCGCCCTAGTGCTGAGCCGGCGCCATCGTGGTGGTCATGGGGCTCGGAAAGGAGAGGGGTCGGGGGTGCCCAAACCAGAGTTTCGCTCGAGGCATCCCCGCAGTCTGGCCGCAGACTGGCAAGGGGTGCATGCAATCTGGCCGCAGCCTGGCAATCTGAAGTGAGAGGAGTCGGAGGTGCAAAACGAGCGCCTCGTTCTATACCCGAACACGCACACACTCTGGCCGCGAACTGCGCCTGCCACATCGCGATGGTCATGGGCCGCTGAAAGGAGAGAGGTCGGGAGGAAGAACCACCCCGACCCCGACAACCGGCGTTTCTTATGCGGCCCTGGGCCCTGGGCGTTTAGTGAACGGCCCTGCCCCCCTCGATTCCTTCCATGGCTGCGTTTCCTAAGCGGCTTCGCTCGTCGGGGTACTTCTGATGGGTGTGGATTTTCTGCCCTCTAGATCTGGGTGCGAACGGAACGATGTAACACCCCCTGGCAGTGCACCCTCGGTGTGCTCAAGTGCGATGCCTGCTACATCACTGTGATCACGTGGCCCTGAAAGGGAAGGAGTCCCGGACGCCAAACGAGCGCCTCGCCAGAGACATTCCCACACTCCGGGCACGAATGGGCCCGTGAGATGCCCCCTGGCGGCTCCTCTTCGGGGCGTTCAAATGTCATGCCTGCTACATCGCGGTGATCACGGGGCCCTGACAGGAACGGAGTCGGGGGCGCCAAAGAAGCGCCTGGCCGGAGACATTCCGACAGTCCGGGCGGGAACGGGCAAGTGTGACACGCCTTGTCCGCGTGGGGTGCTCAGATGTCATGCCTTCTACATCGTGGCGATCACGTGGCGCTCAAGGGAGAGGAAGATGGGGCGCCAGACGAGCTCCTCACTCGATGCGTCTCCGCAGTTTTTGGGGCGCGAGCGGGCCAGTGTTCCACGCCCCCCCAGCGTCTCCTCCTGGGGGTGCTCAAGTGCTATGCCTGCTGCATCGCGGTGGTCGTGTGGCTCTGGAGCGAGAGGAGTCGGAGGTGCAGCTCAAACGTGTCGTGCGAGGCCTTCCAGCGATGTGGGCGCGGCCGGGCCCGTGGCAATACCCCCTCGGCGGCTCTCTCTTCTGGGGTGCTCGAGCGCGTGGCCTGCGGCATCGCGGTGGTCAGGGGGCTCCGGAAGGAGAAAAATCCAATGCCTGGCATCGCTCGGACGTGTGCATTTTTTCTCGGCGAGGGCGATCGAGGAGCATCCTTGACCATTTGGCGAAAAAACCACGCACGAAAGCAAAAAAAGCACAGGGAATGGACGTCCGAGCGATGCCAGGAATGTGTTCTGCTGTGGAATCCCTGAAACGAGCGTCTCGCTCGAGGCATCCCCACACTCTGGGCGTGAAGGGGGCCCTCGCTCGAGACGTCCCCACAGTCTGGGCACGGAGGGGCCCGGAAGATATCCCCGGGTGCTCCCCCGAGTGGTGCTCGAGTGTTCTGCTTGCTACATCGCGGCAATCGTGGGTGAGTCTGAGTGTGGGGAGCGAGGATGAGTTGGTCTAAGTGTGAGCGACAGGACTTGGGAGAGTCTGAGTGCAAGCATGAGTATGAGGGGTCTGAGTGTGGTTGATCAGAGTGTGAGTGGTCCGTGTGTAGGCGTCTAAGCACGACTAAGCTGAGTATGAGTGGGTCTGAATGTAAGTGGTCTGGGTATGAGAGAGTCTGACAGTGCGATTGGGTCTGAGTGCCAGTGGATACGATTGTGTGTGCGCGTTCTGAGTACGAGTAATGTGAACATGAGTGAGTCTGAGTGTGAGTGAAACTGCGTGCGAGCGAGTCTGAGTATGAGTGAGTCTGTCAATCAGCCTAAGTCGGAATATGAGTGAGTTTGAGTGTGAGGGGGTCTGAGTGCCAGTGAGTCTGAGTATGAGTGAGCGGGTCTGATTGGGAGGGAGAAGGTGTGAGTGAGGACCCGGAGGCGTCACAGTAACAGTTGATGACCCTATCTCAGGATATTGCCGAAGAACGACAAACGGCATAGTCGTGAAGTGTTGGCGCCCCGCGCGGATTTCTTAGATCCGCGCCATGCCCCTGGCGTCGCCTCCGGCGCCGCCCCTGGCGCGCTCCGCGCGCTGGGGAGCGGGGTCCAGCGCAGATCCAAGAGAACCGCGAGGAGCGCCCAAAGTGCTTGGAAGTAGAACGTAGACGGATCCAAGACGTAGACGGTCGGAAGTAGACAGTCGGAAGTAGACGTAGACGGATCCAAGAAAACCGCGCGGAGCCTTGGGATCGGCGCTGGACCCCCCCCCCCCCCGAGCGGCACCTCGGGCGCCGCCCCCGACGCGCCCCGCGCGCCGATCCGAGAGATCCGAGCGAGCCTCGGATTTTTGTTTGTGCCTATGTGGTGATCGTCTTCTTGTTCCCTGTTTTGCCGACCTCGTCGTCGTCTTCCTTGGCGACGTCGTCGTCGTCTTCGTCGTTGGCGTCGTCGTCTTCGTCGTCGGCGTCGTCGTCTTCGTCGTCGTCGACGTCGGCGTCGTCGTCGCCGTCGTCGTCGTCGTCGTCGTCGACGTCGGCGTCGTCGTCGCCGTCGTCGTCGTCGTCGTCGTCGACGTCGGCGTCGTCGCCGTCGTCGTCGTCGTCGTCGTCGGCGTCGGCGTCGTTGACGTCGTCGTCGGCGTCGTCGCCGATCTGCGCAGGCCCGCGCACCCCCTCTTCCCAGGGCTCCTTTCAACTCCCTCGGTCCGATTCGAGCCGAGGTCGATGGCTTCCGATTGCGATCTGATTCGAGGTCGGATTCCGATTCGGGATCCGGTTTCTCACTGGAGTCCTGCCAGCCTGCCGATGTCTGCCGATTCGACTGTTCCCGGCTCGGCTGCCGATATCCGTCGATCCGAGTCGACTCGATGCGATCCTGGGCTCTCCCCTGCCCCCTCCCCCCCCTCCCGTGGAGTGGAGCTTGGCTGTTGCGGGCGCCCGCAACGAGAAGGCGGAGTCTCCCCCCCCCCACACAGGACGCATTGCTGCAAGCAGTCGCACCGAGCAGAGGTCCGGAGCCGGACCCCCCCCCCCTCCCCCTCCCTCCCCCGTTTCGCCCAACGCCGAAGCGCCGAGTCAGAAAACGTTCCCCTCTGTCGCTGTGTCTTCGTGAAGGCGGCGGGACTTCCCAGAAGCCCCCGCGCATTCTGAGAAGCTTCTCCGCGTCGTCGGAAGGAGGAGCAGGAGGAGGAGCAGGAGGAGGAGGAGAAGGAGGAGGAAGAGGAAGAGGATGAGAAGGAGGGGGAGGAGGAGGAGGCCCCCCGAAATAATTTGCTCCGAGGGCCAGGCCGGGGGACCTCCTAGCCTTCGATTCTGCGCAGGCCCGCCCCGAGTCTCGCTTTTCCCCCCTCCTTCGCTCGCCGCCGAGCTTCCGCTCTCCCCTCCGCGCGTTATGTCGGCCGTGCCCCCCTGCAGGAGGAATATCCAACACAATTGTTTTAAAACATGTCTGGGGACGACTATTTCTACCATTCGGAATTCTCTATATTTCTTTCTGCACTAGTCTGTGTTTTTCTTCCAAAATCCGCCTGCAGGAGGACATGCCCCGGCCTGAGGCAAGGCCGAAGGACCTCCGAGCCTTCTGAGCAGGCCCGCCCCATCTCGCTTCCCCACTCTCGCGCTCGCTTCCCCACGCTCCCCCCCCCAGTCTTGGCGTCGCTCGGACGTGTGCACTCTTTCTCGGCAAGGACCATCGAGGAGCATCTTTGATCATCCAGCGGGACACAACACGCACGAAATCGAAGCATGCACGGGGCATGGACGTCCGAGCGATGGCGACTCCTCGTGCTCCGTGATCGCCGTGGTCTGCCTCCTGGCTCAGCGACCATGTTGCCGCCGGGGCACCGGGAGTGCCCCTCCGGGGGCCAGGCCGCGGGGGCCCACCCTGCCCTCGCGGGCGCCAGCTCGGCCGCCACGGTGGCGCCTGCGGCCGCAGCGGCAGCGCTGCCCGCAGGCGCGCCAGGGCCGCGGAGGCTGGGCGTTGGCCGCTGGAGGTCCCTCCACCTCCTCCCTCCCCCTCCTCCTCCTCCTGCTCTCTCCTCCTCCTCCTCCTCTCTCCTCCTCCTCTCCTGCTGCTCCGCCTCCTCGTCCTTCTCCTCCTCCTGCTCCTCCTCCTCCTCCTGCTGCTCCGCCTCCTCCTCCTCCTCCCTCCTCCTCCTCCTTCCTCCTCCTCCTCCTCCTCCTCCTCCCCTCCTCATCTTCCTCCTACTCCTCCTGACGTCATGGCCAAGCTTAGGAGAATGGCCAAAGCAGGTGGCGTTTATGCTAGACAGGTGCTCAAGCAAGGCGTTCAATATCACAGCGTCGGGAGGGGGCTGCGCCGAGGCAAGTAGGGAACGACAGAAGTTCCCCATGCTGCAGCGGTCACGCACCGCTGCTGGCAGGTGAAATGCGGGCGCCGGAGGCCTGGCTCAGCGGTCCTCGAGGCACTGCGGAGCTGGGGCTGGTCCATACCGATCGCAGAGGGCACGAGATCCCAGCAGAGGCCTGTCGTTGCGCAGGTCGTGGCATTTGGATGGGGACGCCCTCCCTAGGGGAACAAAGAGTGACATAAACATAAAAACTCGGAAGTCCGCGCGGATTTCTCGGATCGGCGCTGGGGCCCCCCGGCGGCGCCTCTGGCGCCGCCCCTGGCGCTCCGCGCGCCAGGGAGGGAGGGGGCTCACTTCGCTCGGGAGCTCCCAAGCGAAGTGAGCCCCACCCTCCCTCTCGGAAATCGTGGGGGGGGTAGGGATCGGGTTCGCCTGTGGCCCCCCAGTCTGGGGAACCAAGTGCCCTGTACAGCCCTGAGCGAATGCTTGCCTCGAGGTCGCTTGCCGTCCCACCGCTGCTACCAGCACGGCCTGCACACCATGGAGGCGTTTCGCGCTGGATATGCTCGCGTCCGCCAGAAGACAGAGAAGGTAGGTGACAAGGTCATGCGCCAGGCACTTAACTCCCAGGCAGAGATCAAGGATAAGCTTCACGAGGTCAGGGACTTCATGCACATGGCGGGCCCAAAGCGCCAGTACAGCATTGCAGGCCGCGATCTGCAGGAGGAGTGCCAGCTCAGCGAGGGTGGCTTTGCGTTCGTCTGGAAGGTACGCGATCTTCGCACCGACGAGGAGTTGGTGGTGAAGAAAATCGCCTGCCAGGACGCAGAGAAGGAGGCAATGGTGCGGCGTGAGGTTCAGATCTTGGAGCGCTTGCCTAAGCATCCGAACGTCGTCAAGTATTACGGCCACGTGGTTCGCAGCGGCGACCGCGGCACGGAGGCGATCCTTCTGTTCGAGTTGTGCCCCGGCGGCCACTTGCTGGATTTGCTGGAGCGCGCCAAGGGCGTGTTGAGCGAGGAATGCATCTTGTCAGTCTTCTCGGACCTGGTCACCGCAGTGGCGTTCTTACACGACCAGACGCCCCCCGTCCAGCACCGAGACCTCAAGGTGAGCGACTTAAGAACAACGGGTTCGATCGAGCGGGCATTCGCGCGTGAGTTGCCCGCGCAGGGCCGCGTCTGAGCGCCCTCGTTTCCGATGTAGCGTGCCGCACTGGAAGGCCCGCGTCGGCCGACGTGTACGGTAGTTCCGTCATTGTGCGGAACAGGGTTGGACATGAACGCTGTTTCGTTGGACTTCGGTTGTGTTTTGTTGCTCGTTTTTGGAGGGCGGTGCACGACAACAGGCAGAGCAACACGAACAGCACAACGAGAACAAAACGAAACACAACGGTTAGGTCAAGCCCTGGTGCGGAGGACCCGACAGAGCGTGAAGTACCTACCCCGCTTTCGCTTCCAGGCAAAACCAAGCCATACCACGCGCCTCCTCGTCAAGCGGCCTGACCAGTACAGGCTGCAATTTGGCGTCGTTTGGTATCTCTTGGAAGCAAGGGTGGTCAAAAGCGAGGTAGGTTTGTTTTCCCCCCAGTATCGTCGCTCAGGTGGAGAACGTGTTGCTCGGCGCCGACGGGAGATTCAAGCTGTGCGACTTCGGGTCCTGGAGCGACGAGCGGAGCGACCCGAGCAGCCTGGACCGGAAGGGCATGTCGGACCTGCAGGAGAAAGGGCGGGCGGCAACGGGGCGGGCGACACGCGCGGGGGAGTCGAGGACCGCAAGACGGTGGCCCCGAAGGCCTCCTAAGCTTATGCTGTTCCAACCTGCTTTGGCCAGGAGGGAAAGACACACACAGACGCAATGAATCGTCGAATCCAAAGAACATATGGGAAAATGTGGGGATTGGGGGGGAAGACAAAAACCCAGAAAATATAGGAAAATACGGGGAATCCTTTTATTTGTGTGCATTTATGTGTGTGTCCTGGGGCCCCTTCATTTGGCCCTGATCGCCAGAAAGAACTTCGAGCACCCAGAAAGTACCGAAGCTTGAATACTTCCACGTGTCTGGCCCTGGGAGGCGATGCTCGTTCGACACGACACTGCTTCGATACTTTTCTGGGTGCTCGAGATTATTTCTGGGGTTTGGTCTCCAAGCACGATGGGAGCAACAGAAGCAAAGGCAGGGATGGAGGAAAGGGCAGAGAGGAGTGGGAGGTAAAGGGTGTTCCGCGGAGCTTGTCTTGGTCTGACCATGATGGCGGTGATGACGGTGATGACGATAATGATACTGATGATGATAATGATGATGGTGATGATGATGATGATGATGATGATGGTGATGGTGATGGTGATGATAATGCTGCTGATGATGATGATGATGATGATGATGATACTGATGATGATAATGATGATGGTGATGATGATGATGGTGATGGTGATGATGATGATGATGGTGATGATGATGATGGTGATGATGGTAATGATGGTGATGATGATGATGATGATGATGATGATGATGATGATGATGATGATGATGATGATGATGATGATGATACTGATGATGATGCTGATAATGATGCTGATGGTGGGAACACTATAGATCTAACCTGCCACCGCGGGCCCCAAAGGCACACGCTCCTTCACCCCACGTTTGCTGCCCCCCCCCGATGCCGAGCACCCGCGGCAGGAGACGATCGAGCGGTACACCACGATGATGTACCGGCCGCCCGAGATGGTGGACGGGGCTGGACAGAACCCCCAACAGTGACACGTCGATTAGTGAATTGTCCGTTTTCGGCTTTCGAGAGGGCGCCGTGGCCGTTATTTTCCAGGCTTGCGCCCGCCGGGTTTGGGCCCGAGGTCGTTTTCACTAAACCACGTTTTGCTAAAGGGGGTTCTGTCCATCCCCGAGGTGGACTTCTACCTGAAGTTCACGATCTCCGAGAAGGTCGACGTCTGGATGCTCGGCTGCATAGCCTTCACCCTCATGTTCTACAGGTCGGGCGGGGCCAGGGCGAGGATGAGGTCGCTCCAGAGCGGTGCCGGAGCGCTCTCGGGGCGTGCCGGAGCGCTCCGAGAGGGCGCGGCGCCCGAGGCGTCCTCCGGAGCCGCCGGACCTCAGAGAGTCTCGATGCATCCCTGCCCGATTTTCGGTGGTTCAAAGATTCGGGGTTGGACAGACCTCCTACCCTGACACGTGGATGAAGGAATTGGCCGTTTTCGGTTCGCGAGAGGGCGTCGCGGCCGTCACTTTTGCGGGTCCAGGTCCGTCGGTTTCGGTCCCAGGCCGTTTTCACTAAGGGGAGGTCTACTAAAGGCAGGTCTGTCCACCGCCGAAAGATGGGGTGCTGAGGGATGGGGACCAAGGATAGGAAGGGATCCAGGGGTAGATTCCTGTGGCTTGAGGCACCTCGCCCTCAGGACCCCATCCCTGCCCTCCGGACCCCAGCTTCGAACCGCCGAGACTCGAGCCTCGCCCTAGCCTCGCCTCGACAGGCACCCGTTCCAGGACGACGGCTCGCTCGCCATCGCCAACGCCCGCTACGCGATGCCGCCCCAGCCGCGGCACTCCCCGAAGCTGCAGGACCTCTGCCACTGGCTGCTGGCGAGGGATCCCGCCGACCGCCCGAGCGCGAGGCGGCGGCCGGGGCCCCCCTTGTCGGAGGGGCGCGCGTCGGCACGGCGGGCTGTGTGCGCCTGCGGCTTCTGCGGTGAAGTCGGGCATGTCCCTCTGCAGGAGGAAGACTCAACAATAATAACTCAATAGTCTGGGGACGATGTTTTTTTGCTCGTCTTTTTTTTGTGAACAAATGAGAGGACATAGGTTTGAATAGCTCTGGCAGTTCGTTTGTCTTCTCTGGCAGAGCCCGCCCGTAGGAGGACGTGGCGAACCCAGCTGCTTCTACGGCCAACGCCGGGCCTCGGGGCCGTCCGAAGAACGAGCCAGGGTGACTCAGGAGAAAACGCACAGACACAATGAATCGTCGATCCCCAGGAAAATATGGGAAGAGTATGGGAACTGGGCGGGAAGGCAAACATCCAGAAAATATTGGAAAAGATGCGGAATCGTTTCATTTGTGTGCATTTATCTGTGTGTGTCCTTGGGCCCCTCGGGTGACACGCCAGCCCCGAGGAACGCGTCGGGGCTTCGGGGCTTTCGACGTCCTCGGCCTCGGCGGGCCCTCGTCGGGCCCGCCGAGGCCGCCAGCAAGAACGAGCCCGGACGGCAGGGCCCGCCCCCTTGCGGGGAGCGGGTCGGGGCTGCGGGGGCCCCCGTGGGGGGGGGGGGGAGGAAGGGATGCCGAGGACGCTGCCTGGCTGCCGGAGGCCTGGCATCGCTCGGACGTGTGCGTTTTTTCCTCGGCGAGGACCATCGAGGAGCATCCTTGATCATTTGGCGAACAAAAATCACGCACGAAACTGGGAAAAAGACAGGGACTGGACGTCCGAGCGATGGCGAGGAGGCTTCTCTCAGAACAGGAAAAAGCACATAACCACAAAGGGTTTTATGGGTTTTGCGCTGGAAGGGGGCGTCGCTGAGAGGGTGCCTGGCACGGATGCGGGGATCGCGTTTGGAGCTGGCGGTTTGCGCGGCAAGTGCGTTTAGCTGGCCGCATTTGTTTGGAACGCGTGACGGTTGGAACGGCCTCCTGAGTGAGGGCCCTCGTTACCAAGGCCAGACTCGCCCCTAGATTCTGGTCGGGCCGCGCCCCGGGAGAGAGGGGGGGAACCGGTCTACCTTTTTTTATCGTGAAGGCCTTGCGGCTTACGGCTGGTGCCGCCGACCCAGGAGGACGACGACCACGACCACGACCACGACGACGACGACAACGACAAGGACGAGCGGATGACCCTGCCACAGGCTCGGGACATGGGGCGGGCGGTGGATGGAGGAGGAGGAGGAGGAGGAGGAGGAGGAGGAGGAGGAGGCGGAGGCGGAGGCGGAGGAGGAGGAGGAGGAGGAGGAGGAGGAGGAGGAGGATGTTTGACATCCACCGCCAGAGACCCCGTCTATATGGGGTAAGCAGATTCGAACTCGGCTTGCCTCAGGCATGCTCCTCTACTGGAGGAATGTTCAAAAATGGGTAAACAATAGTATAAGGGGGCGATGATTTGATCTGTTGTTGGCCATGTTTGAGTATTTGTTTGACCGTGTTGCATTTTTCTGTCAAAATCCGCCTGTAGGAGGACATGCCCGACCTGAAGCTCGGCCGAGACTCCCTCTGGCGATCAGGGCGGGAGTCCCATGCCTTAATCTCGACCAAGCTTCGCTGCGCTGCGGAGGTCGCCCCAGGCGTTGCCGCGCAAGCCCTCGGAGCTGACTTCCGGAAGCAAACGAGTGCCAGAGCTGGCAGACGCAGGCAAAGCTGCTGTCGGAGAAGGCTATCACAGCGCAGCGGTGCCCGCGCGCACGCAGTGCCGACGGCTCGACCTTGAGCAACCGTGAGCGTGACCCTGCTGGTGGCGTGGGGGTGCTGCGTGATCCCCGCGGGCACAGGGAGCACCGCCAGAACCTGCCCGCCCACAACTCACCACCCACCAAACCACCCCAACCCAACCCGAAGGCCCAAATTTATCCTCGATTTCCAGTGGGGGGGGGTCGGGGAACATTGAAAAAACACATGGAACCCGTACCCCCCCCAACCCGAAATTCGGGTCAGATTCGGGTCTTCGGGTTGGGTTGGGGTGGTCTGGTAGGTAGTCAACAACCACTCATGGACTCTGGACGCCCCTGGGCGAGCGCCGCGCGACGGCGCGGGGAGCCACGGGCGGCGACGGAGGGCGTGTGGAGGCGGCCGCCCGAGGGCGCGAGGAAGAAGGCCGTGCAGGCCAGGTGCCGCTCGCGTCGGAGGTTGGGAGCACCGGGTCGGCCGAGAGGAGGGGGCTGAGCTTGGGAAACTCTGGACGCCCGAGATGGGCACGGAAAGAGTGGGTTCGGGCGACGAGAACTATGCACATGCACCGATCCTGGCAAGGCCGATCCTTGACCCAGGATCGGTGCATATGCCTTCCTGGCCAAGGTAGGATGGCGTATGCACCGATCCTGGGCTCAGGATGGGCCTGGCCAGAATCGGTGCATGTGCATAGTTCTTTTTCCTCTAGTGGGTGCAATGCCCAACAGCAGTTCCCGTTCATTTTGAGCAGGACTGGCTGTCCGCGCCGCCGCGGCCCGTGTCCATTCGCCGACGGAAGGCCGCCTGCCCAACAGCGGCCGCTGTTGGTTTGGGACAACATTTGTTGTTGGGCATTGTACCCATTCTGTCCGTGCCCATTTCGGGCGTCCAAATGGACGGGGCCCGCGGACCTCGGGGGACGGGCCGAACCTGGTGCACGCTCGTCCCCGCTGAGGTCGGTCCCCGGCCACGAGCACAACATTTTCGCGGCTGGTTTTGTGACGGCCGCCGATGTACGGATCGAAGGGGGCAGTCCCCGCGGACTTCAGCATCCCTCACTGGGTGCAGACGGGCGCCCTGCCCAGCCGCCGCGTCCGCAGCACTGCTTCCTGCGGGGTGCGCACGCTCGGCGGCTGGGAGGGAGGCACCATCCTCCCGATGCGTCGTTCGCCGCCACAACGGATAGCCGATGATGACCCACGAATGCGCCAGCCTGCAGCACAAGACCGCTGTGAGGCCGCCGACGAGGCAACCTCTCTTCGCGGCCCAGACTGGCCCGATGCGCCACAACCTGACAGTCACTGTGGAAAGCAGCTCAGAAGCTCGGCCACAGAGCACGCTCGCCGCCGTAGTCGGGGCAGCACATTCGGCCGCGGCAGTGGTCTGGGGAGGGGAGGTCCCGAGGGCTCCGCACATTCGAGCGAGGATCTTTCCAGGCGCACTGACCACTGACCACCACCAGCCAGATTTGGACATATCCTTCTTCGCGTGGCGCATACAAGAACTATCTAGATATATAGCCCACTGGAGCTCCCTTAACCCCTCGGACGGTCGCGAGCGTCCCTCGGCCTGATAGGCCTCGGGAAAGACCTGGGACCCCAGCGAAGGAGTCGAGAGCCTCTGAGAGGCCCAATGGCTTTGGGACCCCCGGGGCAGGGTGGGGAAAAACAGCCCCGTCTCGCACGCGAACTTCAACCTAGGCGTGGTGCCTTGCTAGAGGTCCCAGCGAATTTTGTACAGAAGGCGCCTGCCAACCACTCCAATTCGAGTCTCCTCACAGTGCGGGCAGTATCACAGGCGGTGAAGGATGGTGTCCCCCGCCTGTCCAGACAGGGGGCAGTCGTCATTCACAAGGTAGCCAGCTTCAACTGCCTTCCTGAAACGCCAGACCGCCTGACAGGTCAGAACCTTGATGGAGCCCTTCTCTTTCCTGGAAAACTTCGAAGACGCCAATGCGGCATCCACGATGTCGAAACCAAGACGCTCCCCGTCGGGGTACTTGGACCCAGCTTCGAGTGCAAGGTTCCCCCGGACCGAGCTCGTCAGAAAACGCTTTCAAAAGGGCGGTGGAGGTGAGGAGGAGGGGAATGCTCCCGGGGAATGCTCGTTCCACGGTCGTCTACCATGTGGTACGGGCGGGTGATCGTCCCACCCAAGCTCTTGAGAGATAGGTGCATGCCCTCGACGGGTCCTCTGCAGGACCTCCAGGATCTCGGAGGGTTGCCCCGAACAGCCGCCCGCGAAGAGCCCCCCCGCTCCTCCTCCTCCACCTCCTCCTCCTCCTCCTCCTCCTCCTCCCAGGGCTCCTTGCGGTATCTGATCACGGGTGTTGTCGAACCGTGCCCGGCGGGGTCGTTCTCGATCTTGGTGAGCAGGGTGAGGGCTCTCCCGCCCGCAGGAGGTTTCATAGTAATTCACGAATCTGGAGCACCTGGCCGCGAGGCATGCCGTGCGCCTCTGAGCCAAAAATTGGGCGCCCGCGAGGGGGGGCCTGCGATAAAAAATTGCCAGCGGCCCGAGACCCCAGCGTCCTCGGCGGCGGGCTCGGCGCGCCTCGTAGCAGCGGACCTGCCCTGCTTCGCCGTAGCGCTTCTGCCTCTGACGCGCCTACTTCGTCCCTGGAGTATGGTCGGTCCCGAAGGCGATCGAGGTCTCGCGGTGAAGCCCGACCAGGGCTCCAAAACGGCCGCCCGAGGCGATCCGAAAGGCTTCTCTTCGAACAGGCCGTCGCGCGATTCTGTCCGTGGAGATCTGGGCGTTCCTCATCGCGGTGATGGCGCGCCGCAAGGATGACGCCGCGCCTGACAGACTCTGAACAATCGGATCAGCCGCGCCGACCGAGTTTAGCCAGGAATCGTCGATATCAAGATCGAGCGTGGTGGCGGGGCTCAGGCAACCGGAGTCCGAGGCTCCGACGCCGAACCCTTTTGTTCGAAGAAGAGAATAACGCCATAAACATAAACCTTGTGGCGCTCCGCGCGGGTTTCTTGGATCCGCGCTGGGCCCCCCCCCCCCGCGGCGCCTCGGGCGCCGCCCCTGGCGCGCTCCGCGCGCCAGGGAGGGGGGCCCAGCGCGGATCCAGGAAGCCCGCGCGGAGCGTCAAAAGTTTATGTTCATAGCGTGGTCTTCGTCTATGTAGCATGGCCGTTGCGATCGAGCACCCCCGCGATCCGCGCAGGGGAACCCCGCCGCGCAAAACCGTGCACCGCGCCGAGCGGCATCCCGTCACACAGGCGGCCATCAAAGCGGGGGGGCGGCCTCGCGATGCTAACAGGGCGAGCGGGATATGCGCGTAGTGCTTGCGCATATCATAAAAACAAATCGTATTCATGTCCGATGCAACCGCCTGCTTCCAAGCACCGACGGGAGCCGC